TATTTGAGTAATGCCAGTCTCCCCCACGGAATGTTTTCTTTTAGATTCTGACAGCTGGGACAGTGTCCTTTTGGGGACGGTGCCCGTGTTGTTCACACTGGTCCCCAGCTCCTGACATAATGCCTGATATGGTGCAGGGACTCCATGAGTGCTTGCTGAAGGAATGAATGAATTAATGGTAAACATGATATGGCCCATATCCTAGCCTTCCAGTCTAGTGCAGATCCAAACCAGGGCTTTAGCTCCTGAAAGACATAGAAGTGGCCATCTCTCCAGCTACTGTCTGAGTTCCAGCTACCCCCTAGGTCTGGCTGCATCAACTCCTGGTCTACCTGCCCGCAACAGTAACGTTCGCACCCTCATAGCCGTTTGCTTAGTTCAGATTCGCAAAAACCTTCTGAAGTCTACATCCACGTCATTCCTGTGCGGCCGCTGAGAAAACTGACATCCAAAGAGGTTAAGTAAATCGCTCAAAGCCACACGGTTACTGAGAGCTGCATTTAACCCTGTTTTCTTACTGCCTCCTGGACTCTACCTCCCAAATTTAGCACCAGCTCTGGGCAACAGCAAGTATCTGCACCTCCACTGGAAGCTTTGCCCCGGGATGATGTGCAGTCCCGGGTTGTTTCTGCGTCTCCAAACTGGACCGCGCGCGCCCCCTCGCGGTTCTGGGGGAAAGGGGACGTCCGCGCTTCATTTCCTCCTGGAAAAGAAAGAAGTGGCGGGCGACGCGCGAATTCGGTGTAGTGGCCGCGGCGGGCACCGCCACGGGCACTTCGGGTGCGTGTCCGGGGATTCCGGGACGCAGGGTTGGATCGTCCTTCCCAGGTCTTTGGCCCGCCCCCACCTCGGGCCTGTGAGCAGTGTGGGCGGCGCCCAGGCCTGTTTGGGAAGGCTTCCGCACTGGGGCCGGAGGCAAAGTCTGGGGGGAAGGCGGTCAGATGAGTCTGGGGCCTCCTGCCCCAGCAGGGCGACCAGGGTGGGGTTTGAAGCCCGAGTCTACGACCTCGGGTAGATATCCCATCGCTGAGTCTCAGCTTCCCCAACTGTGAAATGGAGATGATGACAACTATCCCGTTGGAGCCAAGACGGCCTGGGGCGCGAACTGGCATCCAGACAGGCTCGAGGGCTCAGACAGAGGCTGGGGGCTTTTGGGAGAGTGCCGGTTGTCTGAATCCGGCTC